CGTTAAAACCAACTTCATTTTGTGATCATTGTTTACTTCAGATTTACCAGAAAATAGGCAATTTTGTTTAAAATTCGGTACAATTTGACACCCTCCTTACCCACCCCAACACACCCCCATCACACACTACACACTATTTTAGGCAACAAAAAGATGTAGTTTAAGAATAATGCAAAGTAATCTAGAACTATCTTCTACCGTCTTTAATTTAAAATCTCCACCCTTTATGCATAAACACCGCTAAACACGGGTGTAAGTTCATGTTAACCTCCCAATGTAAATTAAACTTCCCACTCAAGTTAAGCTCACCAATTAACATGTATAAGTGACAGTGTGTTTTTGCAAAGAGCAAATGCAGTAGCAAGCTGAGGTCGGAATGAATGATGTGTTGTGAATATCAGTTCTTGCATTAATAGTGCATGTCAAAAGAATGAATATCCGGAAGGTGTGGTTCAAGTAAACACTTAGTAAATTAACCTTACAGTTGGGAAAATTCCAATTAAAGGTGTAGAGGTTTAAAGGAGTAGAAACGTGAGTGGAAGGAAATAGCAATCGCTTCAGCAGCACAAGCATCTCATATTCTTCCAAGTGGTCAATATTTCTCCACCTTGGAACTACATGCTCTCTCGAATTGGCTGATAAGGGTGCCAGTTCAACCTGCCTTCATTTCTTCAAATACCAAGTGATAGTGAAGTATAGGTAATCCAATAATATTAGGTTGCCAACTAAGTCATTGTCGATTTCAAATAAAAAGGCAAATTCGGAATTTTTGTTTAAAATATAACTTTATTCAATTAGATATTGGCCGTTCTTGTCGATTACCTTTTTCCATCGTTCTGGCAGAGTAAAAATTCCCCCTTCGTAAAATGTCTGGTCTTTGCTATTAAAAAACTGAATTAGGTGTGATCCGACATCATCCGCGTTGTTACAAATTTGACCATTTAAAGAGTTTTGCATGGAACGAAACAAATGGTAATCCGAAGGCGCAAGGTCAGGGCTATATGGTGGGTGTGACAAAACATCCCAACCCAGTTCCAATAATTTTTGCCGAGTAACCAAAGATGTGTGGGGCCTTGCGTTATCATGATGGAAAACAACACCCTTCCGCCGATTTGATAATGCCGACCGCTTATCTTCAATTGCATCCTTCAGTTTTTCGAGTTCTTCAACATACACATTTGAATTTATCGTTTGGTTCTGCGGCATGAGTTCAAAATACAAAATTCCTTTGTGATCCCACCAGACTGACAGCATAATCTTTTTTTGGTGAATCTGCTTTTGATACTTTTTGGGCTGGTTGATCTTGCTTCACCCATGATCTCTTGCGAGTAACATTGTTATAAACTATCCACTTTTCGTCGCCAGTAACTAGGTTCTTCAGAAATGGATCATTCTCATTCTCATTGCGTTTCAGTAGCGGCGAATCACAGATGCTAATCCGTTGCGTCAAATGAATTTCCTTTAACTGGTGAGGGATCCATAAATCAAGTTTCTTGACATAACCAAGGGTTTTTAATTTTTTTTCAATGCATGTATGCGACACATTGAGCTTCTCTGCAATATCTCGTGTTGTGCTGTGACGATTTGAATCGATAATGGCCTTGATATGGGTTTCATCCACTTCGACTGGGCGGCCAGATCGTTGTGAATTTGTCAGTGAAAAATCACCGGAATGAAATCTTTCAAACCAATTTCGACACTGCCTTTCTTTTAAGGCTTCATCTCCATATACGGCGCATAACTTCTTTTGTGCTTCCGATGCGTTCTTGCTTTTTCGGAAGTTATACAATAAAATGTGTCGGAAGTGCACGTAATGTTCTTTCATTTTTAAATTGGGATAAAAACAAAACTAAAGAACTAAACAATAAAAAATTTTTTACTAATTAACCTAGAAGCCCATACAGTAAGAAAAAAATATAGGTTAGATGCTCTGGCCACGTTAACAACACAAAAGCAAGTATAGAGTGAATCTGTCAACAAAAACGGCAATGACTTAGTTGCCCACCCAATATTTTACTGGGTTGCGTGATAGACTTACCTCCATGTGGTGAACCATGGGCAGCGTATACTCATACAACAAAAAAAGTCTATAAACCGACAGTTGACTACTGACTTCAAACTACCATGACTCAACATAATGTCATATTCGACCACTTCACAGTACTCATCTTACCTTTTCTCTACCTTTGTGCCTTTACATCTGTAAATCACTCTTCTATTTCCCTTCACCTTTTGTGACTTTGTCTGTTGCCCCCCTCTGTGAAGCCCGTAGCCAGCTAAAGGACTAATGACAACTATCAAAACGCCTGCCGTTTGAAATAATTAATTACTTATTTACTCATGGCAAATTCAATAAGAACATTTTACACACTGTCTCCTTATTTATTTGAATTGATTGGCGATGATTTGACCTGAAACCCTCTCTGTTGTTTAAATGAAAATCGTGGTGGAATCAAAATCTAATGGGTGGAATGGATACTGGGCGCAATATTTTTGGTACTATGAGATCTTATTTCATTTTATATATGAGTTCGAGTTCGGGTTATTTGGTATTTGTAAAATGGGTATATCGTGTCCTAGAGTTCAAATTTCAAGTAAATTTCTCCTGAAAGAAAACTTTCTTCCAGATCACATTCTTGGCGAAAAATTTTAGTTGCAATTTTGGTCTTTGCAAGGTATGAAAGAAAATAACTTGAGTGGTGATTATTCCAGGTTTGAATATCAGATTTAATAATTCATATTTTTTTATCCTGCACGACGTAATTAATATTTTTGAATGCAAAAATGCAAGTCTTTCCGTTGAATGGTAAAGCACTGATTCAATTAATGGCCGTGTGTTCGTTGGGTACCGCTATTGTATTGTAAGCTTCGAGTGGTAATCCAACACAACGCTTGACAGCCAGGAATTGTAATTGAGACTCGATAACTCTGATTATTCTAAACATTCCATTTGTAACGGCCTACAAATATCACTTATTTATTAAGATGACTAACTTGGGCTGTAAGGAGACTAGGCGTTAAAGCGCTTAAAAGGTTCGTGTAGTGGTAACTTAACCCATTACCGAATTCTGAGCTTGTGTAGGGTGCTTAGGAGGCAAGTTTGTTGTACCAGAGAAAAATCTCAAGACTAATGGAATAGGGAAAAATTATTGCAGGAATAATAATCTTTGAGTGACTTCTAAAGCAATTGGGAAAGTAAAAATACAACCTTCCATTAAAATTTTTACACAGCTTCTAATATATATATATATATATATATATTGACGAAGATGTGATGAGATGACCTCATTCCACTAATTGTGTTATTGGTTTCTTTCTATAATAATGCTTGAAAATTATAACATTATTGAATAATTTTGAGAATTTTTCAATCGGTCAAAAGGTTTTGAACGCTAAAAATGGGCTGGAGATTATGCATTAGTCTTCTAATTCCCTTTGATGTGGTAAAATCAAAAAATTAAATTAGGGATTTGGAGTTATCTTTTATGCAGTTAAGATCATTATGAATAAATCACGATAACTGCAAACATTATTGTTAATAGGAATTTAGATAATAAATTACTGAAATGGAAATTGATTTATACCTTAAGTACTAGTCTAACATTTAAATCAAAGTAAAGGAAATATTACTTGTAATTCTTGCGATTAATCAATACAACATCAAATATTGAAAGCTATAAAAAACTAAAATGTAAGACTGGGGTGATGCAGCATACGATGGGAGAAATGGTATTAGATTTTTAATTTGGTGTACAATCAACCAACAAAACGTTGGATAGTTCTGGAAACCTCAAATACATTTGTTGTCCATCGGCTGATTAGACATCCTTCTTCGCTTGTAACTTCTCTTAATAAAGGAAGAGAGAGAGAGTTTATATTACCACAAGCATTTCTTCAATCTTTTGAGGAATCAAATCATATTAAGTCATTAGTCTTGTCAGAAATTCTCACGTTTTCGAATTGTTTCAATAAAATTTGCTCAGTACTATTTTACGGTTTTCCTTAGAACAATAGTGTTTTGGTAAATTGTTAATTACACTTTCTACACACATCTATATTTCTTGTCAAATTTCAAATTATCCCTTAAGCGTAAATATCATAAACTTAGTTACTCAATTTTCCTCTTCTGACAACCAAACTAACTATTTAGCCGCGAACAGGTGTCGTTGGCATACTATGAACACACAGCGATCGAAATTCCGAGCAATTGTTTATTGAATAAATGGAGTCAGTTAATTAAATTGATACTCAGTTAACTTTTATGCCATTATAAGCGCTATTAAAACGAATCAATTAAACACATTATGACGTCTACTACTGGGAGCATATCACTGCATTTAGCATTGAAACACAAAATATAATATAAATAAAAACAAAAAATAGTAAATTTTACAAAAATTCAAATGTTACAGTGGCTTTGAAGGCGTATTAATTTATGTAATGCATTAGGTCTGATACCGTAAGTTTACTATATTGCATGATGGCTTGAACAACTTGGTTGAGATGGAGATTTCACTATTAAAGTTAAAACGATTCTGAAAATCTATGGCGCTATGAGTAAAATGTAAATTTGTAAAAGGGATCATATACGATGCAGAATGATAATATGATTTCCCTCATATTGGTTGAAATTTAAATATTTTCATTATAACAAACAATTAGTATCAACTGCTATAAAACATTGATGTGGTGAAATATAATAGATATCAGAAAATGTGTTATATACAGAATTTAACATTCTAATAATAGAGAGGCGAGAGTTAATACAAAATAGTTTAATATCCGTAACCTTACAGCATGAAATAAAGTTATTTTAAATTTAAATAAACAAAAGTAACAAAATTATGACAATTTAATACAAATGATATTTTACTTAAAATTGGAGTGTTTAGCTTGGCATAAAAAAGCAACGGAATTCAAAATTGTTCGGACGACCAACAGACATATGTGATTACCCTTGACTGGGTCTATCTATCCATTTATGGAGGTTATAAATAGTTTTATTTCAGGTAACTCAAGTTCACATAACTTTTCACTCGAAATGCACTACTATGCCAGAGTCTTCTTAGAAATATTTTAAAATATTATTCAATAAACATTTCATCAAAATACAAATAAATAACCTATCATTTTTCTACTTACATTTCCTAATCTTATTGTACAGTTTACTATTATAGTTTTGGTTGTCGTTAATGGTCATATTTACCTTTGAAGGGAATCAACACAAGTCTCGCAATGACTCAATAGTATCCAATAACTCGGGTAGTGTTAGACACAAATGGCGTCTTAAGCGCTCAAAGCCTATTAATTCCGAACCAGCCTCCGAAAATCTTTCTAATGATTCCCTTCCCGGTATGGTACGTGTTCCGGCCACTGATCTCTGTGTCGTATGTGCCAATGACGTGGAATATGTGTACATCCTTTCCAAATGTGGTCATCGAGCCTGTATTGATTGCTGGCGACGGTTTGCCTACTCCCAAGTCTCCTCATTCGCAATGGCCCACATTACTTGTATCGCCTGTGACAGACGTCTTTCTCGTGCCCTTACTATCCAACTCCTTAAACCCCGACCTCTAGAAAATGGTGCTTTTGATGGCTTTTCTAATTCTGATCTGCGACAGGCCGAAAAGATATATCACAGATATGAGGACTTTTTACTTCGTCAATGTCTTTCAAGGGATAAGAGGACGCGTTGGTGTCCCCGTGGTTGTGGGTGCGTCATGCGAAAAATTTTACTTTTTAGCCTTGTAGGGTTGAATTTATAATTATAGTTGAATAGTTAGCAATGAACAATATCAGTATTCAAATTTTATGCTAAAAGATGGACATGGAATGCTATTTATTAGTTATGTTCAATTGTTGGAGACTAGATTTAAAATCTAGCGAGGAATAATGTATTTACCGTTAAATTTTCTCTTCCTACTTTTTCTAATGTTCTTTTTAGCTCTTTCATGTAGCTTAAATTGCACCGTTGAAGATGATAATTTGATAAGGGACAACTGTACTTAATTTGTAAAATATTTTGATTTCACTGGCAAATGCATTACTAGTTGTTGATTTATTCGTAATTGATCGATACTCATTTGAGTGTCGAATTTGATCATCACTTTTCGCATTCTCTACTCTAGCGGTTGGGAAATCCCTACTTCTTCCTTCATTTGATTCTTTTTAATCTGAAATTTCCATTCTGCTACAAAATTAAGCAGTTTGCCTCCATTTCTTTTCCATTAGTCAGTTTTGAGACAATTTTGGTCTTTTTTCAAATATCTCCCTTGATCTAATTATTTTAGATCAATTCTTTTCCCATTGACAATGTCGTGAAAAATATTTGATTTGAGTTTTCACACCGCTAACTAGAATGTTCCAGTTTTCATCCTCCCATTTTCCTATTTCTGCTGGGATTTATGCTAAGCTATTGATTAAATGTTTAATGAAGTGGGATTCTTTATTTAGCACAGGTACCTCCCTACATAGTGGTAAGGGACTCCGTGTGCTTAAAATTCTCATTGCTATTTATCTATCTGATTTTTTGTGCTCAAAATGAGTAATTTGCCTGAGAATTGCACATTTAAATAAATTAATTCTTGTTCTTCCACTATCTTTTACGGTCTGTTGTGCGGTTTCAGTTACTTCAACTGGACAGACGCTGTTGAGCATCGTCCTCAATGTAATACTTGTTCACTTTCATACATCCCACAAATGTGATTTGAGTCCGATGATGATCTGATTCCCTGTCCATTGGCATCTTAATAATCGTGCTTTAACCTTTTCTCCCATATATTTTGTCGACAAATATGTAGTTGTGTAATTCCGATTTTATTCTGCTTCTGACAAATAAAAATGTTAATACTTTCCTGCTTAACTCATTATGTGATGTTCCATAAAAAAACAGTTAGCTACATTAAGAATCTCTTTTTATTATTCATACTTCTGTTACTATTGCTGATATAGGCTGACGTCAGCCTAACTTTTTGCTGCCGTCGTTTTTACGCCGCTGCTACTATAATATATTTCTGTATCCATGTCACGTTGAGCTTTGGTTTTATATTTCCGTGGGCTATGCTATCTCCTATTCATCTCTAAATCTGCGAATTAAGCTATTTGAGCTAACTAAACGAGTCATACTCTGTCTGACTCTGAGTCTGTCTTACAACTGACTCATCTACGCAAAGTACTATACTCTCCACAAAAAAGCAACTAAGTCTCTTAGTGTTCTTATTACTGCTTTGTTTATCGGATGATTTCCGAGTTAATTAGAGATCACATGTTTCTCTGGCTGTATGCTGTTGACATTGTCCGAATGTATTCCAAGCTACGCCTACTATCGCATAAACAATCTCTGTAGGTTAGAGAACTTTGTTCTAGTATTGTAGCTGAAACAACATCTTGCCTTCTTAAACAGTGTCCTTTTTCTCTTATCATTTTTTCCCATTGAAATACTCATGGCATTATAATCAGCATTGTGTATTCGGAGTCTGTTGAGTGCGGTAGTGTCTAATACCGTTAAAATATCCATATAATTATCGAATCGACCATCTTACTGATCACTTCTGGTCAAATGTGAGTTCTTTAATCACAGATCGGCGATTTTATGCTATCTGTTTGCCATCGTTTTGTTTACCCTATGGTTTCCATCTTAGCCAAATTTGTTATAGTTCTCGTTTCATAACGCTTTGCTTATTTAACATTGATTATCTAGTTTCTATATCAAATTACGACCCAGCATTCTCCACCTCCGTGTTCTTGAATTCAATAAAATTGGAATACTTACAATCATTTGCCCGTCCTTGTTTACTATTTACTTATAAATTCTTCATGTCTCTCTGTCTTATCTCTAGTTTGTCATAGCTGCTGGAGTACTAGGTTGACGTAGTCATCTGTCTGCAGAGAGGTCTCGAACCTCTGACTTTCCCAAAGTTAAATGCTGGAGAACATAATAAAACTCACAGATTGTTATAATTATGGGAATGGGAGTACGAGTTTGCTGGCTTTTTGGCCCCCTCCCCCTCCATGACTTTTCATTATTTCGTGGATCGTATGGGTACCAGTATACTTTCGCTCCCACGCTCTGTCTTTAATGCAAATGTAATTTTAATATTCCAGACATATTGTTTTTTGGCACTAATTTATGTAGAAGACTGCCTTCATAACAGTTGTTATTATACTTATCACATTCTTCTGCTAGACGAAGATTACGACATTGGAAATTGCATTGTCATTCCAATCGTCTCACTAACAGGACTTCAACTAACATATTTGGTCTTTTGAGGAGGAGGGAGATTGACAGGAAGACAATAGTTCAACACATCAGAACCTTACAGAGTTTACTGAAGTTGATGCTTTGTGCGGTATTACTTTAAGCCTCTTATTCATTCGAATACAAGTTGTCCACAAAACAGGATGTATTTTATCCGGATGGTGCATAATATGGAATACCGCTCTTTTAAGAAAGGAACTTGTCGATCAGTATGCGCTCTCTTACTCGTGTATTCCCTAGACTTAGACTTAGACTCATTAACTTGTTTACAGTCGAGTTTTTATTCGAGCATTTGTGTACCTACTTTATGAACACATTCAGTCTCTAGTATTTACACAATCTGGGCATCTGGATGTTAATGTTAGATTCAAATTTTGATTTATGGACATTTCTTTCTGATCACATCAAAACAGGCTTTCACGTTCTAATCTTCCCTTTTGTGGGGAAGATTATTGAAGGTTAAGTGTCAATGGTTTAACCCCCCCCCCCCTTTTTGTGCCTTCCTTAGAATTGGGAAGTGGTGATAAGTTGGAATAACTTTTGATTTACATATGCTAAAAAATTGTAAATTGTAAATGTTCACTCCTCAGGAAGGAAGGAACCACATTTTTTGAGCTTTAACTATTTGTCTATGATTTATTTATTTATTTATATATTTATATATATATTTATTGTCCAAAATTTTGCCAATTCAATGAACAGTGAGATTGGCTGAAGAAATCCCCAAAAAGTGGTCTGAATTTTTTGGACTGTTATCAATTGAATCTATTGTTAGATAACATATTCATGTTTACATGTTTTTGCGTTCGTTTGAACTGTGTTCAATCGACAGAGTTGATGGAGAATAGTGATTATTGGGTTTTGAACCAAAAGGCATCTGGTAGAGTTGAGGACATTGCGGGGTGACACAAGGTTGAAGGTGCAGATACAATGATCTTACATTCTCCTTCTTTCTATTTCTCCATTTTCCTGCATTTTGGAGGTTAGTGCAAACAATTTGTCGTGTCATCTCTTTGCTCCTGTGTTAATGGTGTTTCTACATGTTGAATGGACTTCGATGAGTTCTATTTGTCTGGTAGATAATGAAACTAGATGCCGCCTCTGTTATGCCATTAAAAATTTAACAACTTGTAACTCCGTCTATTTTAGTTGTGCTCATTCCACTGTTTGCTATTTCACGCATGCACTCAATGTTCGGAAGATTTTAGGCGGATGTCCTTAAGTTCGATTTGTGTCATCACCTCCAAACGTTCGCATGAATCAATCGTTCAATTTTTGTCTCATCTAGCCATAATGTTTTCTATTTTTATGCGTGACAGCGGCTTGTTGAAAAAAACAGTACTTCATGTTGATTGATATGCGTGTGCATACGTGGAAACAGATCAGTGGCCTTTCTTACTGCGGACAGACCGCCTTTGTACTAGTGGAGACTAGCAACTTTGCGAAGCACAACTTCTTGTGTACAACTTTTGATTGTGTGAACGATAGGCCAGAGATATATAGTAAAAAGACTGTAATTGAGAAACTCAATGCACCAGGAACGAAATCCTCTCATAGAATTTCATAAATTCGACGCAGAATACGGACAGAACATTTCATTCGACTTTACTTTGGAGGTTAAGACCAGGAAGAGGGCTACTGGATCCATTTATGTCTAACTCTGGTAAACGAAGAGTCGAGTTGAGAGGTTATTCATTCGGTTTCTTTAAACCTTTCGGTTCCTAAACACTGTCGGCATTTGTAAAGGACCAACGCCTTCATTGGATTTTCCTAACACAAATTTATGTCTTTATTAATAGTACAGAAAGTGTCTGTTTAGCATATTACCTCTGCAAATCACCTTTAAACACAGGATCTTACGATGTGTTTCCTTTTTCCTATTGTTTTCCTCTGACCTTATCCATAGGAACGCATATTGGCTTATGGCGCCATTTTCGAAACAATGACGTTATTGTATTGTAACATTGGTTTTTGTTGGACAGAATCAGCTTCTAAACTATGGCCCTATACCCATTCTATTAATCGAATTAGCAGTCTGCTTTTTCCCCATTTTTTGTGAACAATTTGCCTAGATTCCTTATCTGCAGTTCCATCGCCAGTTTATTGCTAGCGCAATAATCCAAAAATAGATCCGATAGTTCTACTTGGGAGTTCAGCTTAGTTCTAGTAGATATTTGAGATAATTTCCCTCCTTTCTCGCAATATTTCTATGTAGATGATAACAGAGTAACTTATAAAGGTATTTCCTGCTAGGAGTATTTTTTTATTCAGCCGGAGTGTGTGTGTGTATGTGGGCCTTGCTTGTGCAAAAATAGTGTCGATAGCTCTTGTTCTTAGCTTCTGTAGAGGTTAAAATTACTTTAATTGATGAACGCTAACGTTAATTAGTCAAACGGTTGACGGCGCTCATATTGAAGTAGTGGCAGTATATCAGGCTAGATTAAATTAAAATTCTCCACGTGTATTAACGAGGGTAGGTAAAGATGAAATAAGACAACGTGTTACCTCCACAATGAATGGTGATATGCTTTGCTGTTGAAGGTCCAAGTATCTGTGGTAAACTGTTTTGTACTTTTGTTTATTTGCCCTATTTATACCAAGTGATGAGTTAAATAATGCCTCATTCTTTATAACAAGTCTTGTATACAAAGGGAAAAAGTAATGTGGGTAGTACTTCATATCAAACTGAGTTTTGCCACTTTACTGCTTACCAATTCATTTGCAAATACGTGTGGTGGGGCCAATTCATTTTATATGGACGCCTTCCTAAGATGTCCAACCCTCCGGTAATGTTTATCAGGCCCCGGACCCCTCCCT